TAAAATAATATAGTCTTGTCAACTTGTTTTGTAGAACTTTGGAAAAATTGATATAAATACTCCTAGAAATTTGAAATTTCACAATAATACTCCCAAATTCAATAAAAGACTCTGGTGCTCCCAATTAAACTATAAGTTTACATTACTACTCCTACTATCTCTAATCAGCTTTTCTTATGCTTACATGTAAGTAATTATGCTTAATTGACATCTTAGTTGTTGTTTTTTGTTTTAATAAGAGGAAAAAATTATATAAATACTCATAGAAATTCAAAATTTTACAATAATTCTCCCAAAATCAAATAAAAACTCCAGTTCTCCTAAAAGTATATTCTCGTTTCACGTTACTATATTTTACTGAAATTATTTTTAAAGTATTTTATATGAAAAATGGTGTGAAATTTAAAAATAAAAATTACATATTAAAAACTAATATACTAATATGTAAAAATAATTTTTTTAGTAATATTAAAGATTAATTAATTGAGCTTAATTGGCATCTTAAGTAGTTTTTTATATTTTAATAAAAAATACCCCTCCGTCCAAAAATTATCTTCTCATTCACTATTAAGAGTATTAACAAGATCAAATTTTATTTACTTTGCTTATCTATTTTAATTATGTATTTGATAAAATAATATAATTATATCATTACTAGTTTTATAGATATTATAATGTAGTTTTTAGATATATAATTTTATTGTTTGATTTCACACCACTTTTATTAAACATCATAACACGTAAAAGGAAGATATTTTTTAGAGTACTGGAGTCTTTATTTGGTTTTGAGAGATTATTGTAAAATTATGAATTTCAGGGAGTATTTATATAATTTTTTTCTCTTATTAAAACAAAAAAAACAACTAAGATGTCAACTAAGCATAATTACTTACATGTAAGCATAAGAAAAGCTGGTTAGGAATAGTGGGAGTAGCAATGTAAACTTATAGTTTAATTGGGAGCACCAGAGTCTTTTATTAAATTTGGAAGTATTATTGTAAAATTTCAAATTTCTGGGAGTATTTATATCAATTTTTCCTAGAACTTTTGAAGTAGTTTTTAAATATATAAATTTTAATTTTTAATTTTACACCTACAATCAAATAAATTGAATTGAAAATAAAGTCAGTCAAACTTCGTAAAATGAACCGGGAAGATCATTATAGGACGGAAGGAGTAATAATTTGGAAAACTAAATGAAAGAGGGAATGTAAGCCATGACATCACCTCGTTCCAGATTATCTTCGTGACGTTGGCATGAGTCTAGCCGTTTGAAATAAATTACCCCGTACTATTCAAACATAAAAATTATGCAAGTATTTGGTTCAAAAAAATTAGGAAAGAGAAGAATAGAAAATAAAGTTTTTTTTTATTTTACATGTCAAAATATAAGAAATTTGGTTTTTTATCTCTCTTCTAATTATATTTTGCCTTTTTTATTTTTTATTTTTCATATTTTTGTTTCCTCTCTGACAAAATAAGAAAAAATATTTTTCTATCCTTATTTTTTTCTTAGCTTTTTCAAATTCTTTGAACCAAGCATAGTTTAAAGAAGAGGAAGAAAAACTAAAATATGAATAAATTATATGAATAAACGAAAATAAGAATTTCATGTTTTTACCCGAAAATAAGATTTACAATATTTTTAATTTCAAGATATAATACCAAAAAATACTATTGAATGAAAATATATAGTTCCATGTCGTTACATTACAAAATCTTATATTCGGAATAAAAACATACTACGTATTACTTTTATTATGAATATAAGAGCTAGAGGTTTACTCATTCCATTCTATATTAACTGTTTATTAACACTTTTCTTAGTATATTTCATTTTTAATTGTAATAAAGAATAATAATAGATACTTAATACTCTCTCTGTCTCAAAAAATTGTCACAGTTTAATTTTTTTGGATAAACTATGACGCCATATTGATCTCGAATTATGGAAAATGTGTTCAATTATAGTAAAATTAGATTTATTTTAAAATATAGTTTTGAAACATCAAATGTTTAGAATATTTAATTATTTTAAATTATATTTAAGTAGTGGTTAAATGATGTCATGATTTGATCAAAAAAATCAAAATGTGATAATATTGAAAGAACAAAGGAAATAAGATGTTCACAATTTCTTCTTAAACAAGTTAAGCGTACCCCCCATTATAAGAGAAGTGGGCTATGTATTGATAGTGCACCACTCACCCATATACAGAATATTATTGCTTTAAAGAGGAAAAAAGAAAAGGATTCAAACTCTGAAAAAATGGGTCAACTCCACGTTTTCTTTGTCCCGGTGATGGCTCACGGCCACATGATTCCCACACTGGACATGGCCAAGCTCTTCGCTTCCCGTGGCGTCAAGTCAACTATAGTCACCACCCCACTGAACCGGACCGTTTTCGCCGGAGCCGTAGATAAACAGACCGGGTTGGGTCAGGAGATCGAGCTCCGTCTCCTCGATTTCCCCGCCGCCCGGGTCGGCTTGCCGGAGGACTGCCAGCGGCTCGATCAGCTCGCCTCCGACGAAGAAGTCCCCAAGTTCATGAAGGCCTGCTCCTTGCTCCAGGAGCCCTTCGAGCAGCTCCTGGAGGAGCTCCGCCCGCACTGCGTCGTCGCCGACATGTTCTTCCCTTGGGCCACGGCCGCCGCCGCCAAGTTCGACATCCCGAGACTCGTGTTCCACGGGACCAACTCCTTCGCCTTGTGCGCCACGCACAGCCTCAAAATCCACAAGCCGTACCTGAACGTCTCCTCCGATTCGGATCTGTTCGCGATTCCGGATCTCCCGCACCAGGTGAAGCTCACCCGATTGCAGGTTTCTCCCTTCTCACGCGGCGGCCAGGAAGAGGAATCCCCCATGTCGGAGTTCATGAGACAGGTTAGCATGTCGGAGGAGACCAGCTTCGGGGTCATCTTCAACAGCTTCTACGAGCTCGAACCGGAATATGCGGAGCACTACAGGAATGTTCTTGGTCGGAGGTCCTGGTTCGTGGGGCCGCTTTCCCTCTCTAACAGGTTAGAAATTAAAACCAAATTTTGTATTGGAATCCGATTATGAGCTCAATAAATAGATGTGTGTGAACAATAGGGACACAGAGGACAAGGCCCAGAGGGGGAAGAAATCCTCAATCGGCGAGAAAGAATGTCTGGAATGGCTTGATTCCAAGAAACCCCACTCGGTGGTTTACATTTGTTTCGGAAGCGTTGCGAGCTTTGCGGATTCTCAGCTCCTGGAAATGGCCGCCGGGATCGAAGCTTCCGGGCAGGAGTTCATCTGGGCGATAAGAACAGCAACAGGGGAGAAGGAGGAATGGATGCCGGAAGGATTCGAGGAGAGGACCAAAGGGAAGGGGCTGGTCATAAGAGGGTGGGCCCCGCAAGTGCTGATTCTCGACCACGGATCGGTGGGCGCGTTCGTGACACACTGCGGGTGGAACTCGACGCTGGAAGGGGTGTGTGCGGGCGTGCCCATGGTCACCTGGCCGGTCTTCGCAGAGCAGTTCATCAACGAGAAGCTGGTGACGGACATTCTTCGGACCGGTGTGGGGGTGGGATCCAAGGAGTGGAAAAGATCGGGAAGTGACGGGGTGAAGAGAGAAGCGGTTGCAGAGGCGATCAAGAAGGTGATGGTTGGGGAGGAGTCGGGGGAGATGAGGAACAGAGCCAAGGCGCTGAAAGAGAAGGCGAGAGTGGCGGTCGAGGAAGGCGGGTCTTCTCACTCGGGTTTGAGTGATTTGCTTGATGAATTGAGGACTTACCATAATGCTAAACCCTAATAAAATCTGTCGGGTGGACCGGTTCTAAAAGATTTCTCAAGATGAGATTCATTACCCTTTTTGTTTTGATGCATTCCATGTTTTACTCTTTATACATGTCGTCATCACTCCCACGTTATTAATTATTGTTACTCATTGTTATGTTGTGTGACACAATCTAGAAAAATGGCATTAGTGCTGCTCTAGGGCTAATTGTGTTGCTAATTATGTTGTTTATCTTCTGTTAACCTGTTTTGTTTCATTACACGTATTTAAAGTGTTTGCAAATCATGATATAGAGTACTTAACACGAATTTAAGTAAATCACAACATTATTCACCTTTTTCACATTGTAATGAGTTTTCATGTGAGCATATTTTCTTGAAAAGGTTCAATTCTTTTATATTACAAATATACTAATATCCACATAATGAACATGGACCCTAGGTCCACGAAAAAAATTAGGCTTTAATTTAGTATGCCTCTAGAATCGAAGAGTTTAACATTATGGTAAGTCTTCAATTCATCAAGCAAATCACTCAAGTCCGAGTGAGAAGACCCACTTTCCAACGCCTTCTCTTTCAACACCTTGGCTCGGCTCCTCATCTCCTCCGACTCCTCCCCAACCATTACCTTCTTGATCGCCTCTGCAACCACTTCTCTCTTCACCCCGTCACTTCCTAATCTCTTCCACTCCTTGGATCCCACCCCGTAGTATATCTGAATTTTATACTTATGTATTTCGGAGTAAACGACATGATAATATATACTCTGTATTATTTTACTATAATTAATGTAGGTTGAAAGACTAATACTTTTGTATCTACGGAGCTCGAACCTGAATAAACTTTTATATGAATCCTGACCCGATTGAAATGGTCTAACTTTACAATTCCTCTTTTTTATAATCTAACTTTTTATCTAAAAAGAGTGATTCATCAAACATTTCTCTAATAGCTCTTAACTAATCATTACACAAAAAAATAATTTTCCACTAAAAAATTATCCCATCAAATTGTGTGTCAAAGAGGGCCATTGTCCCTAGAGTTTTAGTTTCAATCAAAATAAATCTACGAGAGAACAAATAGGTAGTTTAAACCCCAAAATAAACCATTATATTATATTTGATTCCAAATTAATTAGAATTTCCATATACATGGGGATCTTGAACTGAGAGTCCAATTGCTACAAGGATTGGGAACCAAACTATACAACTTGGCAAGTGCAACCTTTTCCCCTCTGAGATTCCTTTTCTACCCTTTTTCTTTTTTTAGTTCTCATCAATTAAAAACTACTACTAGCTAGACTAGGCATATTTACACCTTGGAGACATTCCCATGAGCTTCATTATATTCCTTCATCTCAACACTATTATTCTCTTGGCCAACACCCTTTTGTTCATCAGCATCAAAGCTTCCGGGCAGGAGTTCATCTGGGCGATAAGAACACCAGCAGGGGAGAAGGAGGAATGGATGCCGGAAGGATTCGAGGAGAGGACGAGAGGGAAGGGGATGATCATAAGAGGGTGGGCCCCGCAAGTGCTGATTCTCGACCATGGATCGGTGGGCGCGTTCGTGACACATTGCGGGTGGAACTCGATGCTGGAAGGGGTGTGTGCGGGCGTGCCCATGGTCACCTGGCCGGTCTTCGCAGAGCAGTTCATCAACGAGAAGCTGGTGACGGACATTCTTCGGACGGGTGTAGGGATGGGGTCCAAGGAGGGGAAGAGATCAGGAAGTGACGGGGTGAAGAGAGAAGCGGTTGCGGAGGCGATCAAGAAGGTGATGGTCGGGGAGGAGTCGGGGGAGATGAGGAGCAGAGCCAAGGCGCTGAAAGAGAAGGCGAGAGTGGCGGTCGAGGAAGGTGGGTCTTCTCACTCGGGTTTGACTGATTTGCTTGATGAATTGAGGACTTATCACAATGCACTCTGAAGGATTATCACTCGAGTGATCGTCCAACCGGTTCTGAAGGATTCTCATGATGAGAATCATCTTCTTCTTCTTTCTTTTTTTTGATACATTCCATGTTTTACTCTCTATACATGTTGTCATCAATCCCACGTTCTTATTGTTACCCATTGTTATGTTGTCTGACACGGTGCTGCTCTAGTGCTAATTGTGTTGTTTATCATCACTCAACCTGCTTTAATTCGTTTCATTGAATTTGATGAGAGCAACTCCAATGGTAAGAGTTGTCTTGAATAGGTATATATCTCATTTACCTTTCCAAATGATCAAGTTTACCTTTCCAAAAAGTGTGCAACTCCAATGGGGAAAGGTAAATCAAAAGGCAAAAGAGGGAAAAAATCCATCTACATACATTATTGGGAAAAAATTAGTTGATTTACATTCTTAAATCAAATTTTAATTATTAAAAAAGAAAATATACATTCTTAAATAAATCATGGGGAGGTAAATTTGAGGTTTGTTGCCTTTGTTTCTTCTTGATTAAATTTTTAAATTTAAAGATTTTATAAAAATACAACTAATTTATTGGGGAAAAAAAATTAGAATGTCAGTTTTGAAATAATTAAATATACATTATGTCTAATTACACATGTAAAACTATAAATACCCGAATAGAAAAAACTTAAAAATACAGAGTGCAATATTAAAAAACAAAGTATCCTTTTTTCTTAATTCTTGACTCGTTAAGTTTTACAAAGACAAAGATACAAATTACTCCCTCCGTCCTATATTTTTCTTCCCGTTGCGCAAAACGTTGAAAAATCCCAAGATTTTTCAATCTATTTTATTTAAATATTGGTATAGAAATAAAAAATAAAACATACATATTTAAAAACTACATTAAAAGTTCAACAAAACAAGTGGTGACAAGAATATTTTATTTTATCATATAGGCCATGAAAATACACAAATAAATATAAATTCCCGTGAAGTTGGAATAGTGCTCTGGGAAGAAAATTTTAGGACGGAGGGAGTAATAATTTATAATAATACATTCAAGCAAAAATACAATAACTAAAGTAATTGATGAAATAAATTTAAAAGGTGGGAAAATTGATATACCTCCCCAAATGAAAGAAGGTAAAGATACCTCTTCAAAATTAAAGAAGGTATAAGGTCATCTCCAATGGGATGCTCAAGTGAGATGCCTAGATGAGAGAGAATGTAATGTTAAGAGATGCAATCATTGTAGGTAGATGCTCAATAAAGATGCCCAATGAAGAGAGAGAAGAGAAGATGCTAGGTTGAGCACCGATGTTCCAACTTGAAATTACTACTTCCTTTAATTACTTTAATATAGTGTTCCAATAGTTAATGTGCCATGTGTCATTTTTATTATTTATTTGTTTCTTTTAATTAGTGTAGAGGGTTTTTATTGATAGCTTTTTCTTAGAATTTAGCTAGCAAAATTGCAATGACTTTTTTTTTTAAATTAAGTTCCTATTCAGTATGACTATATGAGTGTTTTAATATAATTATACAAACCAATTGGTTATTGAGTGTTTTAATATAATTATATAAACCAATTAAGTGTTTTAAAATAATTACACAAACCAACTGAGTGTTTTAAAATATAGTTTTTTTCATTTATTATCGTGGTGTGTTGTTGGCAATGTATTAATAAAAGCTTTAATTATTTAATACTCCCTCCGTACCTAAATATTTTCACACTATTTAAAAATTGCGGAACTTTTTGTTTATTTGTGTGTTTTCCTAGATTATTTGATGAAATAAAATATTCTCGTCACATCTTGTTTTATAGATCTTTTAATGTACTTTTTAAATATATAAGTTTTATTTTTTATTTATATACCAATTTTTAAATAAAAATAAAAGATTATTTTATATATATGGAAGTAGGACACACTAAAATATGTAATAAAACAAATGTTTAGACATCTAAATGAGATGCCAGCATTGGAGCAGTTGGATGTTAGGAGAGATGCTAGAATAACATCTTTGAAGTGGGGTCCATATTTGGACATCTAATAAGAGATGCTACTACTGTGGATGCCCTAATACCTTCGTATTTACCTCTCCCATTGAAGAATAATTTTTAATGAAAAGATGTATATATCACAAATATTCCTCTTTACCCTTTCATATACCCCTCCCATTGGAGTTGCTAGAGTATTTGCAAATCATGATTAAAATCAAGTTCACAACATTATTTCCCTTTGACTTTACTACGCCTCCACAATCCGAGGGAACTTGAATTTTGTGATTGAATAAAAAAACTGTATAAACTTTCTAGGAAACATAATAGGCCATAGCACCCGTACTCCCATGGTTTGGAAAAATATATACTCCCTCGGTCGCAAAATATATCTCATATTTCTATTACCGAGGTAAAATATTAAGTTTTTTTAATTCATTTTATTTACATATTGGTATAGAAATAAAAAAATAAAATTTACATATAAAAAAACTACATGAAAAGTTCTTCGAAATAAGATGTGTCAACAATATTTTATTTTATCAAATAACCAATGGAAACGTAGAAATAAACAAAAGTTTCTGCGATTGCTGAAAAAACCATAGGGGCCATTGGTGTTCATTTTTATTTTTCATTTATTTTTTCCCCTTTTTTATTTTTTTCTTTTATAAACAAATGTTATTTAAATTTCTTTTTAAAATTGTTTTAATAATGTTCTTAAAATTTAAAATCATTTTTGTTTAAAAAAACAAAAACTACTCCCTCCGTCCGGAAATGTTCTTCACATTTGACTTTTTTTGGTCAAAGTTTGTAAACTTTGACTACAATTTTTAGAAAAAACACTTTGTATTATTATGTATATTTAATATCAATATATTCATAATGAAACGTAGTTTTCAAATATCAAATTTTTATAAAATATATCTATGTATATATATATAGATATTAATGGACAAAGCGCAATATTGAAGACTGTGAAAAGTCAAATGAGAAAAACATTTCCGGACAGAGGGAGTAACATATACTGCATCTGTAAGTCTCAAATTAACATTTTTGGTTTTTTATCTTCTGAAATAAAAAAGCAAAAACTTTTTTTGAGAATTTTAAAACCGAGGAAAAATAAAAAATAAAATAAACAAAAAAATAAAAAACGAATATCCTTTTTAAACATCATAATTCTAAGGACTTTTTTAGGTATTCTAAATATTTCTCTTTGTATAAGATTCTTTTTGCATGTTTGAATTTTTTTCATTTCGTTTTTCCACATTTTTATTTTTGTTTTTTATTTTGGATTTTTTTAACTTACGAAAGAAATTATTCTAGAAAATAAATAGTAAAAATGTTTAATTTGAGATAAATGGAGTATATGTTATTATTTTTAGAGTAAATTTCCAAAATAGTCCTTTCTAATAAGGTGTTTTCTCAAATTATGGTACTTTCCGTTCGACTTATTTGATCTAATTTTTTAAAGATCTAATCTTATCTAATATGGCTTGATCTGATCTGATTGCATTTATAATTAAAGATGTTTCTGATTTGATCTCGTACGATCTGGCCTGATATGATCTACGTTTGTTTCTGATTGCATTTACGTTTGTTTCGGAAGCGTTGCAAGTTTTGCGGATTCTCAGCTCCGGGAAATGGCCGCCGGGATCGAAGCTTCCAGGAGTTCATCTGGGCAATAAGAACACCAGCATGGGAGAAGGAGGAATGGATGCCGGAAGGATTCAAGGAGAGGACACGAGGGAAAGGGCTAATCATAAGAGAGGGGGGCCCCGCAAGTGCTGATTCTCAACCACGAATCAATGGGTGCATTCGTGACACACTGCGGGTGGAACTCCATGCTGGAAGGGGTGTGTGCCGGGGTGCCCATGGTCACCTGGACGGTCTTCGCGAAGCAATTCATCAACGAGAAGCTGGTGACAGACCAAACGGGTGTGGGGGTGGGGTCCAAGGAGTGGAAGAGATCAGGAAGTGACGGGGTGAAGAGAGAAGTGGTTGCGGAGGAGATCAAGAAGGTGATGGTTGGGGAGGCGTCAGAGGAGATGAGGAGCCGAGCCAAGGCGTTGAAAGAGAAGGCATTGGAAGGTTGGTCTTCTCACTCGGGTTTGAGTGATTTGCTTGATGAATTGAGGACCTACCATAATGTTAAACTCTTCTATTCTAGAAGCATATTAAATTAAAGGCAAATTCTTTCGTGGATCTAAGGTTCATGTTTATTACATGGATTTTAGTGTATTTGTAATATAAAAATGAGCCATTTCATGAAAAGAATGCTCACATGTAAACCCATTAAAATGCAAAAAAGGTGAATGAAACAAAACAGGTTGATAGAAGATAAACAACATAATTAGCAACACAATTAGCCTAGAGCAGCACTAATGCCATCTTTCTAGATTGTGTCACACAACATAACAATGAGTAACAATAATTAATAACGTGGGACTGATGAAGACATGTATAGAGAGTAGAACATGGAATGCATCAAAATAAAAAGGGAAATGAATCTCATCTTCAGAATCTTTCAAAATCGATCGAACGGTCACCCCACATCGATTTTATTAGGGTTTAGCATTATGGTAAGTCCTCAATTCATCAAGCAAATCACTCAAACCCGAGTGAGAAGACCCACCTTCCTCGACCGCCTCTCTCGCCTTCTCTTTCAGCGCCTTGGCTCTGTTCCTCATCTCATCCGCCTCCTCCCCAACCATCACCTTCTTGATTGTCTCAGAAACCGCTTCTCTCTTTACCCCTTCACTTCCCAATCTTTTCCACTTCTTGGACCCCACCCCTACACCCGTCTGGAGAATGTCCGTCACCAGCTTCTCGTTGATGAACTGCTCTGCGAAGACCGGCCAGGTGACCATGGGCACGCCCGCACACACCGCTTCCAGCGTCGAGTTCCACCCGCAGTGTGTCACGAACGCGCCCACTGATCCGTGGTCGAGAATCAGCACTTGCGGGGCCCATCCTCGTATGACCAACCCCTTCCCTTTGGTCCTCTCCTCGAATCCTTCCGGCATCCATTCCTCCTCCCCGGCTGGTGTTCTTATCGCCCAGATGAACTCCTGCCCGGAAGCTTCGATCCCGGCGGCCATTTCCCGGAGCTGAGAATCCGCAAAGCTGGCAACGCTTCCGAAACAAACGTAAACCACCGAGTGGGGTTTCTTGGAATCAAGCCATTCCAAACATTCTTTCTCGCCGATTGAGGATTTCTCCCCCCTCTGGGCCTTGTCCTCTGTGTCCCTGTAGTGTTTACACACGTACATTTATTTATTTATTTATTGAGCTCCGGAATTTAATTAATTTAAAATTCCTAATCGGATTTCAATACAAAATTAGTTTTAATTTCTAACCTGTTAGAGAGGGAAAGCGGCCCCACAAACCAGGACCTCCGACCAAGAACATTCCTGTAATGCTCTGCATATTCCGGTTCGAGCTCGTAGAAGCTGTTGAAGATGACCCCGAAGCTGGTCTCCTCCGTCATGCTAATCTGTTTCATGATACCCGACATGGGGGATTCCTCTCCCGGGACGCCGCGTGAGAAGGGAGAAACCTGCAATCGGGTGAGCTTCACCTGGTGCGGGAGATCCGGAATCGCGAACAGATCCGAATCGGAGGAGACGCTCAGGTACGGCTTGTGGGTGTTGAGGCTGTGCGTGGCGCACAAGGAGAAGGCGTTGGTCCCGTGGAACACGAGGCTCGGGATGTCGAACTTGGCGGCGGACGCCGTGGCCCAGGGGAAGAACGTGTCGGCGACGACGCAGTGCGGGCGGAGCTCCTCCAGGAGCCGCTCGAAGGGCTCCTGGAGCATGGAGCAGGCCTTCATGAACTTGGGAAGGTCGTCGTGGGAGGCGAGCTGGTCGAACCGCTGGCAGTCCTCCGGCAAGCCGACCTGGGCGGCGGGGAAATCGAGGAGACGGAGCTCGATCTCCTGACCCAACCCGGTCTGTTTTTGGACGGCTCCGGCGAAAACGGTCCGGTTCAGTGGGGTGGTGATTATAGTTGACTTGACGCCGCGGGAAGCGAAGAGCTTGGCCATGTCCAGTGTGGGAATCATGTGGCCTTGAGCCATCACCGGGATAAAGAAAACGTGGATTTGGCCCATTTTCTCAGAGATTGAATCCTTTTTTTTTCTCTCTTCAAAGCAATATTATGTGTACGGAGATATGGAATGAGTTGTGCACTATCAATTTCAATATATATATAGGCACGAGGGTAGACTTAACTTGTTTAAGAAGAAATTGATCGTACTCTCTGTTCTTAAAAGATGGTCACGGTTTGACTTTTTTAGTCAAGTTATAACTTTTTTTAACCACAAAAATATTAGTTTAAAATCATTAAATATTATGAAAAATTGATATTTCTAAATTATATTTTAAAATAAATTGAATTTTACTAATTTTTCATTATAATTGAATATTTTTTTTCCATATTTTATGATAAAAAGGTGCCACAATTTACCAAAAAATTTAAATAATCTTTTTGGGATAGAGGAAGTATTAAATATCTATTATTACTCTTTATTACAATTAAAAATGAAGTATACTAAGAAAAATGTTAATAGACAATCAATATAGAATGGGGATTGAGTACTGTGTAGCTCTTATATTCAAAATAAAAGTAATACTCCCTCCATTTGGAAAAAGTGTTCCTCTTTTGACTTTGTGTAAAAATAAGGAAGTATTAAATTGTAGTTGACTTTCCAATTTTGCCCTTGATGTGATAGGTAAAAGTAAGATGCGATGGATAGATTATTAGAGATAAAGTATGATGTGATAGGTAAGATATGAAAAAGTAAGGGTAAAAATGGAAGTGTTTTGTTGGAAGTGAAAAAAATGAAAGAAAATTGTTTTTGAGAATAGAGAGAGTAATTTTTTATTCCGAAAATAAGATTTTGTAATGTAACGACATGACATTATATATTCTCATTCAACTGTATCACAACATTATTCCGCTTTTAATTTACTATGTCTCCAAGATCGAAGAGAACTTGATTTTTGTGATTGAATCCAAAAAACAAATTGCATGATATTACGTTTGGTCTAAGGAATTTGAAAGGCAAAATAAAAGGAAAAGAAATGGAAATCAATTAGTTCATGTTTGGTTAGATAAGAAAAGAAAAGAAAAATGAAAAGAAAAGCAAATGAGAAGATAAAATGTACTAAAAAGAGAGAAAACCAAATTTCTTCCATTTTGGTGAGAAAAATGAAAGAAAACCATTTTCTTTTACTTTTTTTCTAAATTTCTTGAACCGAAGATAGTGTAAAAGTTCTAGGAAACATATGTTTTGTATTAACAATTGATTAATAATGTAGAGTACAAAGTAATTATTTTTATTTGAATCATATCAAATCAGAAAAATTCATATTCGAAAGACTAAAACAAGACCAGAAACAACTCAAATTTTAACTGGAATCAAATCTGATCAGAACATACCAAAAAGATTTGAATCATATCAAACATTATTAAATTAAGTTTGGAACGAATAAGTTTTGACGAAAATGTCTCATTTTATTGTTCACATATCAAATTAATTTTTTTTATATATTTTCGTTAATCATTTTTTAGAATACTCTGGTAACACAATTTGTGACAAATATAGATCATTATTGTTTTTAAGTCATTTTTGTGAAACACTTAGTATCAAATTCTAATATCAAACTAACATGTTTTTAACATTTTTGCTAAAATACTCCGTAAACGAAACTGATGACGTTTTTGGAGGGTAATTTGTTTATGGGAAAAGGTCAACTTTTTTTTTTGTCAAACTCTTTTTTTCCTCAAAAAAGACAACACATGGGAACGAAAAATGAACAAATGAACACATGGAGTAATTGTCACGGATTACTTCCAAATCAGATTACACCACTAGTCCAAAATTTAACACTTACAATTAAATTTATTAACGAGTAAAAAATATTACTCCCTATATCAAAACTTAAAAAATTACTCCGTTACTTCCTACTCCGTACTACGAGCCTGTTCTTTAGAACTGGAAAAAAAGAGATGGAAACTGGAAGAAATTGGAAAAAACTGGAAAAAACTGGAAGAAACTGGAAGAACTGGAAGAACTGGAAGAAACTGGAAGGAACTGGAAGAAACTGGAAAAACTGGAAAAAATTAAAAGAAACTCAAAAAACTAGAATAAATTGTAAAATCTAAAAAAAGTTTTTTAAAAATTTTTTATGTGTGGTTTTAAATTATTCTCATTCTGATTCTTGTTGATATAAATTATTGTTGTTGTTGTTGTTGTTGTTAGTGGTGGTGGTGGTGGTAGTGGTGGTGTTATTACGTTATCTAAATGATTGTCTTTAAAATAAAAAAAATATTACGAATATTATTTTCATACATAAAAAGATAGTTTAAAAAAATAATTAGAATATAAAATTAGCATAAATATCAAAATGTTAAATAATTAGAATATAAAATTAGTATAAATATCAAAATGTTCATCGAAAGGGAATACCAATTTCACTAAGGCAGCAAACAACTCAAGATAGGCCCAAGGTGATGCTGTTTGATGAACAAACGAAAGATGCAATGAAACAGTTTAGAGATGAACTAGCACTTAATATTCTACAATGTAGTTAAACTTAATTGAAGGTACTATATTTTAGATTAAAATATTGATGTTTACCTTATATAAATTTAGATTAAAAAATATTCTGCTCCCTCCGTCCCAAATTATTTGCCACATTTGTATTCCCGAGACAAAATATTAAATTTTTTCAATTCATTTTATTTACATATTGGTATAGAAATAAAAATTAAAATTTACATATTAAAAAACTACATGAAAAGTTCTTCGAAATAAGAGGTGTCAAAAATATTTTATTTTATCAAATAATCAATGAAAACATCGAAATAAACAAAAGTTCCCGCGACTGTTGAAAAAGCAAATGTTGTGAATATTTAGAGAAGGAGGGTGTATATAACTATTTAACCATAATTTTTAAAATAGTGAGATGACAAAATGAAATAATTTATAGTGAGATGACAAAAATGAAATAATTTATAAACTATAGTTATCAACATAAAAGTTATAATTAAAAAAACTGTAAGAATAATAATAATAATAATAATAATAATAATATATTTTTTTAGAGTGATTTGTCAGAAAGTAGAAAGAATTTGAAGAAATTAAATATAGTTGGAAGAAATTAGAAGAAACTGGAAAAAACAAGAAAAACTAGAAGAGATTGGAAAAAACTAGAAGAAACAGCAAGAAGAAACTGGAATGAACTGAAAGAAACTGGAAGAAACTGGAAAAAACTGGAAGAACTGGAAGAAACTGAAAGAAACTGGAAAGAATTGGAAGGAACTGGAAAAAACTGGAAGTTAAGAGTTCAAGTCCAAAAGAACAGGCCCTATGTCCCTGAGTGTTTGTCCACTTTCATTTTTGCACACCATCCAATGCACTTCTTTAATCCATTTTATCGTGTAATTTGTATATTAAAAAATTATAAAAATTATATATTAATAATCTATATGTTAAGACAAATCGAACAAGATCACACACGACTATTTTTAGGCTTACACATTGAGAGAATTTGATGAGTCAAAGTGCTTAGATGAACAGTTCCAAAAGTCAAAAGTGGACAAACACTCAGGGACGGACCAAGTAAAAAATATTAGGGTGGTTGATAGTCACTCCCCACCCAAATACCAAAGGATAATTTACCTAAATAGGATTAAAACATAATAACTTTCTTAATATAGGACTATATGTTTTTATTTCCTAACGTAGGACTATTGGTCATTATCTATTAGTCATTATTCAACTAAATATCCAGCATCACTTGGACATTATTCTTCTCACTGGTCATTATTAAGTCCTATTTAGAAAATAAAAAAGTTTAAGTCCTATATTGGGAAATGACTTATATTTTAGACCTATTCAGTGCAAATTTTACAATACTAAATTCACTCCACTAATTTCTACATAACTTTTAATTCATGAGTTTATATTATTTTTATATATTTTCGATAACCATTTTTTCTTAAAATACTCTAGTAACATAATATATGACACATACATATAGTTAGTGAGTGATTCTTATATGATTTCAAGATTCATATTTAAAATGTAGAGTTTCTCACATTTCCATGTGCTTTCATGTAGATATTTTCTAGTTTGAAAATTGTCTATTTCTTTTAAGCTACAAATATAATAAGGTTTATAAAATGAACATGAATTTTAGGTTGACGGAAGAATTTACCGTTTCACAAATAATTTTTTTTAAGGCCAAGAAAATAATGTTTGATTGCACGTTACATATTTATATGAAAATATGAGATTTCTCACATTCAAAATATAGACCTTGGAACTATGCACACATCACTCTTGTGAAACATTTAGTGTCAAATTTTGATATCAAACTCACATCTTTCTTATAATATTCCGTAAACGATGCTGATTATGTTTTCCAGAAAAAATGATGAATTGGATTGTAATTTCTTAATGGGAAAATGTCAAACTTTTTTTTTTCAAAAAGAAAACACATGGGAAGGAAAAATGAAGAAATGCACCACTATTTGTTACGGAGTACTTTACAAATCAGATTACGCGATTAGTCCAGAATTTAAGACTTGGGTTCTGTTTGATTGGTGAGTAAAATATTTCCCTTGAATGATTTCCAAAGAAAAATATTTTCTCAAAAAAATTAATTTTTACTCCATCTGCTTTCTAAAACAATTTCTCTTTCACGTTTTTTGTTTCCCCAAAACACTTCTATTTTTGTAAATTTAAAATTATAAATTTAAACTTTAAATTTAAAATATAAAAATTAAAACTAAAAATTAAAAATTACAAACTAAAAACTTAAAAATTAATACTTAAACTTTAATATTTAATATATAAAATTAAAAATTAAAAATTTAAGTTTAAAATTTAAAAAATTAAAATTTAAAATCGAAAATATAAAATAAAAATTTGAAATTTAAAATTTAAAATTTAAAAACATAAAATTTTACATTTTACATTTAAAATTTAAAATTTTAATTTTTAAATTTGTGATATTAAATATTAAATATTAGTATTTACCATTAATAAGTGTAAAAGCCCATAACTCTTTTAATAAATTCAGCCCAAATTAGTTAACTTAAATAACTAGAGAGAGTCGGAGGTTTTAGAGGAAGATGTTGGAAATCTCACGACACTGAATTAGCATCGGCGAGGAAGATAAAGTCGGTCTTCTTCCAATAGTAAGTCTCTCTCTCTTTCGTCTTCTTCATATCCTCTTCGTCTCCTTCGTCTTCTCTCCGTCTTTTTCCTGTCATCTTCTTCTTCCGTGTTTCCACAAAAAAAGCTAGGCGACCAATTTGGCGTCCATAAAACCTTGTCTAGACGCCAACTATGGTTCCATTCAACTTTTTTTTTACTTAATACTTATTCTTATTAAAACAAAATTAGACCAAGTCAGACCAGATTAGATCCAATCAGATCAAATTTAAGAAAAATTAATACTGTTATTATTATTACTATTATTGGTACTATTACTATTGCTATTATTATGATTATAATTATTATTACTATTATTATTACAATTCATATTATTATAATTATTACTATAACTATTGCTATTATTGCTATTACTATTGCTATTATTATTATTACTATTATTATTGTTATTATTACTATTTTTTTTACTATTATTATTATTATTACTATTACTATTATTATTATTAATATTTCTATTATTATTACTATTATTATACCTATAATAATAATTTTAATTTCAATTTAAATTAAACTTATATCAAATTGGATCAAAATTTCAAAAAAAAAATCAGATCGTATCATGCGAATGGAACGCACCCTTAATTAAGAAGTGACCGTTTTTTTTGAAAGACTCGTAAATAAAAAAGGGATGGTGCGAGGGATGTTAGGATTGTTCATGACATGTTATTTTTTTATTTTAATTTTTTATACAAGAAAGAAGCAATTTTTAAGATTATTTATTTGAAAAAAATAAAACAATTTTTAATAATTAAAATACATGAAAAAGTATAAAAATGATTATAACAATGACTTGCCACTCTATGACATACCACTACATCCCCTTGCCAGACATTGATTAGGCAATTTTTAATTTCTTAAAACATTTCACATGATCGGGTGACATTTAATTTTTGTCTCAACATTGTACATGCTTTAATTAGAGCATGGTGAAGAAAATTGTAGTTTTTCCCTACATTCATTCCCTTCATCCAACCAAACAAGGTGAAAGAAATCCTTCTCATTCATTCTCTCCCTCCCCACCCCCACCCCCCTCCCATCTCTTCCAGGCTCTGAACTCTACACTTCCCAAACAGGGCCTAATCATGCGTTTTTTGAAAAATTAGATCAAAGTTCGTAATCCTCCTATATACAATGCTAGGTGCAATTCGTGAACAGTGTTCCCACCAAAAGTGAGATGTAGTTGAATCGGGTTTGGGCCTGCTTGCTGGACGGATATGGACCTGCATTGGTGGACGTGATTCAGCTTTTGTACACATCAAATTTACTTTTTACTTTATGTCTATTCAATTATCTCTTCTATAAAGTTGCATTGGTAACCATGATTTAGTGCTCCATTAAGCTGATTTTAAAAAAATTTACTTTGTGTCAAATCCATCTATTTTAAAGATTTTTAATATCTAAAGCATTTAATGAATGGTTAAAGAAATCATGGAACATGTATTATAAATACTCTAGCATTATGATGTAAACTTCATTCCTTACAAATTCACTTCTCAAACATCCTAAAAAAAATCATCAAATGTCTCAAACGTCTTCCTTAAGCATGTGGTCTCCCGTTGCCGAGCTTGACAACACTTGAACAAATTTGTTGTTCAAGTTACGGGCCGTGCGTGGGTATTTTGTTTCTGTTTGGACCAAAGGCGGAGATTCAATGGAGATCATTTTTCACGATGAACATGTATAATATTCTCAATTTTTTTGCGCTTAATCGTAATTTATTTAATGACTTTTTCTAGTCTAAACTCTTTTTCTTTGTATAGGGCACGAGGATTCACACGCATCTCAAAAAAATGAAAAAAAAAAGTTTTGAGAATCAAATTGTGGAAAATGGTGTTTATGGAATTCAGGTCTTTGTTCATGACCTCATATATATATATATATATATATATATATATATAGAGGTATATATAATATAAATAATACTTAATTGCATAAAAAATGTTATATTCCATCCACAGAAATAGGTTTATAAAATTACAAAATTTTATAATCTTATTTGTCCAAAAAAATATTTACGGTTTGTTCACTTTGTTGTAAAATATCTTAACATTTAAGACACTTACTTTTTAGTTGCCCAAGGAATATACACACGGTTAATTGGGTTTGAGAGTACACTTACAGTTAATACATCTACTTTTTGTTGGCTCAAGAAAAAGATTAAACACACACACACAGATATATATATATATATATATATATATATATATATATATATATATATATATATATTCCTATTGAAAAGATTAAAAAATATATAGAAATTTGTGAAAAGTATAGAATGAACCAAGCAACAACAAACTGAAAATTGTATTAAATAGAAAAAAATCAGAAATATTAGTTTGTCAAATGTTGGTATATGGATATTATTTATTAATATAAATAATATTTAATTGCATAAAAAATGTAATATTCCATCCACAGAAATAGGTTTATAAAATTACAAAATTTTATAATCTTATTTGTCCAAAAAAATATTTATGGTTTGTTGTAAAATATCTTAACATTCCATCTACTCCGTACTTTTTATTGGCTCAAGAAAAAAATAAAACATACACACACACACACACACACACACACACACACATATGTATGTATATATATACGCTAGCAGAATGAGGTTTGATATGTGCAATTGAACCTGAACATGTACAAACAGGTTCAATGACTTTGTCATTATTTTAATCTACACTCCCATTTATTTGGTCAGAACAAAAGATGTAAAATCATGACTTTTAAATGCAACATGTCACGAATAAATTTTTGAAAACAAGGAAATATAAACCTTGATGCTGGAAATACAACAAAACTCCTATCGAAATCAATGTAAATATAATGTTAAGAAATTATTGTAATTTATGAATTAAACAAGACATTATAAACATTTACAAGTAGTAAATGAGAATTAGAATTTTTCCTTCAATAAAACATCAAAATTTAGGCTTGAAATCTAACGTACCAGTATTTAGAAATTAATCTTATTATGATCAAATAAATAAATATTTTTACGAATGAACATGCCTTTAGAACAAGGCATGAAGGAGAAAATTCATATTCTCTTCCACCGATTTACCGTAATTTTAAAAGATGATTTAAACTTATAAAGCAAAAACTTATTATTAATCATTTACAAAAATTCACATGCATGGTTGTTCTAAACAGATCTAAAATATTCAAGGGTTTCTAAAGTTTTAAAAAAGGGCTTTCAAATTTAGAAATCATTTAGAAATAAACGGATCTAACAAAAATTCAAACATTAATGAATGGGAGTATCAACTGAGGAAAAAATTGATATTAATGAACAATGAAATAAAGATACCGGTGAAGACCGCGATGACAACCCGGCGATGACATCCTCTATCTCTCGGAGCCCTCTCTCTCTGTCTCTCTCTCCTTACTTCCATCGTCGGCGTTCTCAAAGAGACGAAAACGGAAGATGGAGAGACTTCGAACTGAGAGCGGCGTGTTTGTGTGGCCAAAACATGGCCACGGTTAGGGTAGGGATAGATATTTTAATAGTTATTGGGCTGAACAAACTGGGCTGCGTAGGTTTGGCTTTAATTGAAATGAGTAAATTGGGCTTCTCCTATCCTTAGGTGTAGGTTTTTAAATTTGGAAGAACACAAAAAATTTTAAAAATAATGGTCCATGGTTTTTATAGAAAATAAAATTTGTTATTACTAAAACAGCCTTTCTAAACCAATTAAATGATTCGGGTTTTAAATTGTTTTTACAAATAACAATTTATTTTTAAGTTAGTTTATGTATTGCATAATTAAAACAGGAATTAGCAGTTGGTTGACCCCATGTTACAAGTGTAAGACTATTCAAGACTCAGATTTTAAGGAAGATTGTTGGAAATGCTTTGTCGTACGTGGTCATCTGACATGCTTACAAATTGGTGACGTGGGATGGGGATTATTTTTCGTTTGCGATCATTGTGTGATTCCGGCACCACCTATACCCACACCACTTTACTACGACGATCTGAACGAGTTAAAATTCCAAACAAAAAGTATTTCAATGATCTTTATGTCCTTGATTAAGATTATCAATATTTTCGTAAGATATTTAATTTTGCCACTTTTGTATTGTATGAATCTCTAATGTTGGAAGAAATTAAAAAGCTCTTCGTATGTAATCTATCTGACATGCTTTTTGGAACAATGCTAAGGATGTAAATATTTGTATGTCTATTATGATTATGACCAAGATTAGTTTTTGTTATGAAATTACAAAATCCAAACACTACCTATCTTCTAAACATCATTCTATGTCTTACTACTCTATTCTTTCTTATTTTTAGCTATTTAAGTGAAATATTATGGTTTTCAGTCATGGTCAGCTCTATGTTGCGATTTCACGTGTTACAAGTCGCGAGGGGTTAAAGATCTTGATTTGCAATGAAGAAATTCCGTCAACAAACAAAACTACGAATGTAGTTTATAAAGAAGTATTTCAAAACTTATAACACTGCATATCAACTACGGTCCTTACTGTATAATACCTTATTTTGGGCAATTTTAATAAAATTTGTAATTTTTAAATTTTTGTAACATTTTTTTATTCCAATCCATGATTAAATTTAAGTTATTTTACTGCCCGTGCATCACACGGGTACGAGTCTAGTTTGATCAAAGAAAAGTGAAACAAGGTAAATGAAGTGAAGCAAAGAGTAATTAAAACACCAACCATAAATCAATGATACAAAAAGGTTAACAAGAGGAGCATATGGACTAAAAGCGGTAACGGAGACCTGTTTGTAGTGTATATATAGAGCTAATTTACACCTTTTCAAGCCACAATCAGACAAATATATTCACAAAACTTCCAGAGTCGAACTAAAAATTATTGACCAACACAGAAGTTTTCACCAATTAACAAACTCCCCCCTTCTTCATTGACGAGTAATCAATTAACACAAAGCAGCAGTACTTCACATCTCTCCCTCTGTTTTCTTTGTTTTCTTTTGGTTCTCATCCTTAATCCTTAATCAATAACTTGCATATAACCAATTCTGTGCCTCACCCTACCCATATTTGTAGCCAGTTGGTCGTCGTCTGAATCATATTGTGGTGCTACTTCACCAAAATCGTGAAGCCGGCGGCCGATCAAATAGCGGTCGTCCCGGATTGAGTTGTGGAGGTTGGTGAACCATACATGGAATCGCTTCCCGCAGAACCACAAGAGGCTGAAGCCGAGGCATCCCAGCCAAGCAAACCGGTAAACGGCAGAGTTGACCACCAGAGGGTAGCCGAGTATCGGGAAAACCCCCCTGGCTAACACATAAGGAACACACAGCGCCGTGAGAAGCTTCATTATGATCGGGACGACAATCTCCCGAAGGATCCAAAATCCCTGCAGCCGAGAGAACCCGTCTTGCTTCACCCTCTCAAATTTTATTCGCCAGCTATCGTCCACCAATGGCATCATGTGATCCAGCATTACCTGTTATTAGGAGAGAAAAGGGATGTTTAAAACAAACATGACTTGCAGTATTCGTAACATTACATTTGTTTCATCATCATCAGCAGCAGCAGCATCACCACCATAATCCAAAGTAGTTAAGTTGGTGGGATTAAATTTGTAGTGCTAACTAATTCTCCAAAAGAAAAAAATAGCGGCAATGTTTTATGCCCAATGCCTTTCAACCTTCATGAGGAATAATGAGATGAATTTTTTTAAATCATTCATAGGTCCTATCTACATGCTTGCCAACATTGTGACGCAATGAGCCGAGACATTTTTATGGGCACAGGGAAATGAATCTAAGGCCTTATTTGACCGCTAGCCGTTAGCTGATCACCTAATTATATTAGTTGTTTTCACCAAATGATTGCATAAACAAAGAACGAAGTTGTTTGGTAGGAAAATACTATTAAAAGAACTTCCTCCATCCCAAAACATATACATATTTGTTTGCCAAAATTCTCAGGAGATGATTGTTGTTTTATTGTTTAACCTTCAAAAGGAAGAAGTGTAATATGGCTCCACTCGCATTAGCTAGCACATCTCCCAAGTCATCTAGTTATAATAAAATGTGATTGAACTTTATACTAGTCTCAGATGAAGATAGCTTTTCATACCAGCCTAGTCCAGATCTTCAGAAAGATAAGCCCAAGAGCCCAATCCTGATATAGGAGGAAAACCGGACTCTCATTCACTGGCACTCGCATAGGCACAATCACCAGAAGTTCAAAAAGCAGTCCAATTAAAACTGGGATGACGAATATCTAAAAAAATATGAAGGAATAAACAATAAGAACCGAGATGGCATGAATAAAGTTTTGCACATATTTAATAGCACATGAAATCATAGTACATTAGATCAGCAGTAATGTGCAATTACCCATATCGACAGAAGAGCAGAACTCTTTAGAGCAATGCCGCACCATTTCCAAATTAGGCCAATAAGAATGGTAGCATTTCCAGTCCTGACATGCTCAATGCAGTACCTAGCTCCAGCTAAGGCAGTCCAAATAGCATAACTTCCAATAACAAATGCATACAAATCTATAAAAGTAAGAGAGAAGAAGTTAGCCGTAGAGGTCTAAGTTTTACATGCACAAGACAAGCAAAATTGAATACCATCATCAGCCAACTAATTATTTTGAGTACTATCATACCATTGCACTTGATTCCATGTGTGATTGGCAAATGCGGAAGAGCATTAAAGAGCGCACGTCCCAGTGAAATTGGTACAATTATCAAGGCAGAATTGAATGTAAGCAAAGTCATCCAAGCTACAACCAAAAGCAGCACGATTCGAAGCACAAAGCTGTACCTGCTGAATGATAGTATAAAAAATTATCTAAGATATTTTCTCATTTTTAATGCAAGCAAAACAACAATTCAGCACTTAAATCATGATAATGTAGCACACACATGATACAACTACTAATTTGTAATCACAAATTACAAATATAATTCTCCCTTCGTCCCAAAACTAAAGGCATGGCTTAATTTTTTTGGTCAAACAATTACACTTTGACCAGTAATAAATACAACTTTTAATAAATAAATGTCATAAAAATATGATATATCAAAACCAAATCTTATAATGAACCAATTATATTACATTTACATTATAAAAAAACCTTTTTCGAACTTTGTGGTCAAACTGTGTAGCAATTTGACCAAAAAGTCAAAATATGCCTTTAGATTTGGGATGTATGAAGTATAATAAGTCTCCAATTTTATTCAGTCCTGGAATTTTGGCCTACTTTGTTTGATATTTTTATTTAATTGAGCATCTAGGAACAGTATGAGCCAAAATGCACTTTTAGAGGATCCTACTTCGTAGTTCTAAGGGGCCTCAGTGTGGGAATACTTGCAGGAATAGAAAGAGTCAAGAACGTGTTGAGCTGAAAAAGGGAGCAGATGCTGCAGGAGGTTGTTGGGCTGTGATAGAGAGCTTAATAGCTTATCTCCACAGTCTCTACAAGAGTACAGCCTATAGAAGCCTTGCATATTCAATAAAAACAAATACTTCCATGCCATATTTCTATTTTCTAGTCATTGATGTTTTTCAAGATGCACTGATATGAGTTCGTATGATCTTTCCCTAGCATTTCCCATGTTCTACATTGACCCACATAGAGTGTTGGATCCCACGAAAGTAGGGTCTCAAACACATATATGCAAAAGAAAAATTAATCGCAGCTTAGAAAAAGTACAAACAAAAAACCAGGAGCCACCATAACCTAACCATTTGTGAAGTTGAATGTGGAAGCAAATTGAATTTTAAATTGCTATTAGTATTCACTCATTAGACAGACAGAATGGGTTACTTATGAAGATACTGTTGGTACTGGTGATCAAATCAGGATGCCTCTTAAAGAATATGCATCAGCCTTATTAAATGCAGAGCCATGTGAGTTTCAATATTGGCAATAGAAACACTAGTTAAAAACAGGTGATGAGACAAGCAGTAACAATCTTGAATATATGCATGAGGTGATGCAACTGTATATAGCATACACAAGAAACAATGTCAATGCCAGGCACATAATGGCGCTGCCACAGGATAATAGATCGCCACAAGAAGGTTTGTGGCGCTGGGAGAGCAAAATGCCAATGGCGCATTTATGGCGCACGCCATTTGCGACATTGATAACACCTGGCACATTGTGCTTCAAATTTTGAAGTGGTTTTCAAATTATGTAATATAGGGTCAAGAGAAGTCAATGCCCACTGCAGGTGGCCATGTGCAATTTAACTTACTCAGAGTCAGTTTGTTGGTGACCATCATGCTCCTCTGTAGAATTGTCATTTAGTGCTGCTGTGTTCATCATTCTATTTAAATCATCATCCAGTCCCACTATAGCCTGATCTTGTCTACCTAGCTGCCCGTGGACTCTACCTTGTCTGCCCTGGTCACCGTTTCCATTCTCTTGTCCACCATTATCCTCTGGTCTAGGCAGTAAGAAATCGGTCAAGCCAAGGGCCCAACCAACAACTGTAAACCAATATCGCAGAAGAGACTTGATTGTTGTCCGCAATTTAAAATGTTCGATGGCAAAAGGGATGCAGATTTGAAATAGAAGCATGTCTGCAGGAATTTCAGTAAATGGATCTGATACACTGTAAGATAAAACAAAAGGTCTAGTTAAACAAAAACTTATAGCATTAGAAAACCAGTAAATTAAAGGCTATCTACATTTATTACTAACACAAGTTGAACTGAGTCATGAAAAGAAAACCAAAAGGATGGTAATCTTACGAAATATCAAGAGGGAAAATGGTGGGAGCTATTCGCATGGCAAGTTTGACGGGCAAAAACACCAGCAGCACAATCAAACTGCCATAAACAGCTACAGACAAAAGAACTCTCCTAGCATGCTTGTGTACAGGATCGTCAATGAGATCCCTGAATGGGTTATAATTTGGATCGGCTGGATCTCGAAGAAAGTAAAGAACTCCATAACGCAAGACCTGTGAGAAATGGCAGAACCTTTAGCATTGGAAAAACAGCAAGCATGACAATAAGAGAAGAGTAACCGACAGTGTACCCCTCGGAGAAGGCTAACGAAGATGCTTATTTGTAGCATGTAGATGATCCCTACAACCCAGTGGATCAGTGAGCTTGCCAATGGAGAAACTGAAAAAAACTCAACTCTTTGTGTAATTGACTTTCCAAACATTCTTATGGTACAAACATCCAGCCACCATCCGCACATCAAGGGGAAAACCCCAAGTTCAATAACCAAAAGAAAAGCAACCTTAATCATAGTCATTAGGTGTCTCATTGCTGCCACAAATTGCCTGAAAAGAGAAGGAATAGTTTCGGCAATTGAAGCAATTCCATAAAACCTCCCCAATGTCAAAGGTTCTCCTCTAGTGTACCGGATTAAAGCCACAACTCCAAGATAGAAGAAGACGAGAGAAAATATAAATATATATCCAACAGCAAGAGTGGTCATGTCAGAAAGCCGTGAAGCCCCAATAGATGTGTCTTTCAAAAGCTCAGCTGAAACTACCATACTGAGGTTGGCTGACACTTCATTCAGTCCAGTGTCATTTGCCTTCATCATTTCTGCTACTTGATCGGGCAAATTATTATCCAGGTTTCCAGATGTCAAGTTTGCACCAGTAGTCAATGCACTCTTTAAGGTGATATTAGCCAAAGAAATTGCTGTTTCAGAAAGAGGCGTGGCAGTTGACAATGCTGGACTGGTAGCAGAGGACAAGAGCCATGTCAAATAATAGAGTATAATACGACCCAGCCAAAAAGGGACATAGATTATGACCCCAAGGAATATCATATTACTAGCAAGTACCTGTGGAAAATAACAAGATGCCAAGCATGTAGCATGAGATGTTAAATAGGGTAGAAAGTAGGAAATAGGAACAATCCCTCCACATTGTTAAACTTGTGGTGTAAAATAAAAATTACAAGGAAAAAAACTTACAGTGAACGCATTTTCAACAAGATGAAAGACTGGCCCCTGCATGCCAACAAGTTCATCAAATGGTACATCCTCTGCACCTTCAGCATCATCTAACCCATCAAACATCTGTTCAACATTAGCCTCAAGATGTGCTGCTGCCTGCATTTCCCAACGGGCAGCAACGTTTTCGGCATTTCTTCTGACCAGCTGACCAGGTCCTGCAATTACTTGAGCTCCATTTGCATCTTCGCCATTTCCTTCACCGGCCAAATTTCTGTTAGCTTGACCAGGAGGTCTTCGAGCTTGGGCAGCATTTCTATCCCCATCATCTTCCCTATCACCATCTTGTCCTCCATGTTCACGTAAATGTCTGAAGTAGTCCCTCAATGAAGTTGCCCCAAGAAAAATAAATACAATGCTTGCAGAGAGGAGGAACCCATGCAGGCAGTCTGTAAGAAGAGCTGCCGTAGATATATGACTTAAGAATAGCCTATGAGCTTCACCAAAGCTTCTAACAAATGCCAACCGCCATATCCAAAACGTTATGAAAGGAATTATTACAAGCCAAACCGATAGAACGAAGCTAAGGCGCAAGAAAAATTGCAGAACATGGCACGTCTTCATCGCCATCCCAACAAAAAATTCTTGAAAAGGAAGCCTTGCTGGAGCATTCTCAGCATACACGGGGGAGAAAGAAAAGGCATGTTTGCACACCTGCATATCAAATAGACATAAGAAATTAACTGAAATATCATAAAGACGCTTCGATATATTAAGTAAGAAAAAATCGAATTCAACTTTAAAAAGAGAACCTATTACTGGGTGTTGCACAATGAAGAGGACAAACTTATTTTTCCATTAACAGGACCATTGTCATAAATCCTGATCAGAAAACTAAAGGAGTGTTTGATTTGTAGGTTGAGTTTGACGTTAGGCTGAAGTCGTCAACAACTCCAACAACCCTTAAGAAGAACCTTATGGAAAAATGAAATATGGATACGTCTCATAACCCCACTAATAGGAAAAATGTGCATATTATGAGCCACACCCCCTTTTATAGAAAATACCCTTAAAACATGTACAAAATATTCTCAATAAAGACAAACCTTAGTACAACGTGTACAAATAATAGACAAATTACCAATGACCAGCAACATCAGCATAAGTTTAATTTTAAGCATCATTGAGTGTAGCATCATCACCACCACCACCACCATTATCTTATTTATCTACAACTAGTTGGGGCCAGACAGCCAGTGCATTAAATTTATAGTGTTATCTAATTGTATGAAATTAATCAAAATTATAAAATCATGCATAACAAAGTGTTTATGCTCTTATTGTTGCAGCCTTCATATGAAGGAATAATGAGACGAAGAATCTAAAATGGTCCTCATAAAAGACTATTTCCACGTGATGAAAATAAAATGAAAAGGCAATGAGTTGAAATATTTGATATTGTCATGTCCATTACAACAACGACGAAATCTAGTTAGATCTAAATTGTGGGATCTAGGGAGAGTGGGTGGGTGTATGCAAACCTTAGCCCCACCTATAAAGGTAGAGAGGCAAATCATAATACATGACGAGGTCAAATTGAACCCGAGGTTTAGAGCGCGTTGCAGTAAAAAAATGCACAAGGTGGGTGAAAAGAGAGGAGTACAACTGGCCCGGGGACAAGTAGCAGCCTGAGGCTGCAACAGCTGTATGATTTCAGAGAAGTGCAAAGTGAGCGCTTACAGTGCAAGGTGAAAATTAAAATCCTAACTTTTAAAGGCCAATACTAACATTTAACAGCAGCCTATTCCACTACTAAATAAAATAGTATGGAGAAAGTGCAAGCCTGAAGCCCCTTATAAAACAGAAGATTTTCTACTTCTCTCGTGGCACTTGACTCAATACTCTAAACAGAAAGCAGAACGCGCAGATTGAAGGGAACTTTCTTCTCTTTGCTCTTTTTTGAGTTTTTTCATTTAGTTTCTTCTTTCCTAGTTTTCCACTTTAATTCTTTGTTCTCTAATTCATTGTTCTCGTCTTTATTTCTTTATTTCCTTCTTTTACTTGTTAAGGAATCCAATTCTTATTATGTTAATAACAACACTAACAAATGTTATGCAGAAGGAGTGACTTTTCTAAAGATATGTTCCATTACGCAGTGATTAAAGGATAATACTTTGAATTTGCAGTGTCTTACACTTTATTTACAGATTTCAGTTAGTTTCTAACATAATTTGTACTTTGTTAGTTGTTACTATTATGATTTGAATAATCTAGTCATGAATTATAAGTTTAAAAATCATGTGCCTTGCACAAGTTAGACAAGCGCTATCTTATAACTTCGAATACCTTGGTAGTGGGCTCTCTAGTAGTCTAGTGCTTGAATAGAGTACACTATATAAATGGAAACAGGTTGTATAGTTAAGATTTAGCATACACAAAGTCATGAATCCACTCTGCTATAGACTTCTAAAAGATGGCAACAGACATTGTAAGGAAAATTCCAGGCATAGTATTCGAAGGCTAAATACGTGAGACTAAATTAGCCAACACATAAAAGGATTGATCAGTTGATCCTAGGTGTAAGAGGTGTGAAATGACCAAAGTGTTTTAGATAGATCAACCTTTAAAAAATCTAAGCTAAATTATCAAAAGATATTTAAACTTACATGAACTCTTTAATTAAATGTATACTACTCAACGTTTTGAATTTGTAATTGTTAGTACTTTTAACAGCTAAATAATCGTTGAAATATTGAAATTTTATTATACTATCAGAATTTGCATAAAATTTGTTTTGGTATTAATTCATCTTTCTTTTTCATACCAAAACAAATTTCACACTTTCTTTTCTAATCCGTCACAAAATGCATTTCACACTTTTCCTTTTCATATTAAGGAATGCAATATATGGCTCACAATCATTCTCACCTCTTAACAAATTTTAACCCTTATCTTAATTTCTGTGCATTCAATCTGTGCATTTTATTTCGATATGGAGAGAGTACTAAAAAGTAGATAAAATTTTAAGAAACATCTTTTTCCCCACGACTATGATTGCCAGGCTTCCAAGGCTTGAGGCTGCTTATTGAGCCTGCATACACATTCATGGCCAAATCAAACGAGCTGATGAACTACCTTTTAGTGGTATATAGTGGCAGGCAGCTACGCACATAGTACTGATCACAAGACAATACATAAATGGAAAAACATTGCGCACAGAGATGTGAAGGAGTTGAGAAAAACCTCGCACTGGCGAGCGTTGCTGTGATTGAGCCATTGAAGGAGGCAATCTTGGTGAACATACTTAATACTGCCGCTACATGCGCAGGGGTACCGGAGAGGATTGTCTGCATCGCCCGGATTTCGACAGATCCGGCAAACGTCCCCCTCATCGTCGTCGTCGTCATACTTGAAGGCCGTAACGCTGACGGATGAAGAAGGGGGAGAAGCGGTAGTCGCCTTGATTGCATCGACGGAGGATGAGGAAGCGGCGGAGGCGGGTATCCCGCTGCCACCGTCGTTAGACGCCGGCACCGCCGGTGCGATCTCCATAAGGACCTGTGAGATTTCTGCCCTAGGGTTTTTCGAGGATCGGAAATTTAGTTTTATCCCAATTGGAGTGAAAGAATGTCGCTGGGGAAGGAGGCACGACCACGGCCGTGAGCCTACCACTTGTCGTTCCTCTTCTGCTATAACTCCGAGAAGTTTCGCAAATTGAAATTATCTACATTTACTACTCTCCCTAAAACACTATAAATCCACCATTTATTTTATTTCATTACTCTTTAAAAAATTATGTACAAAATTTTTTATTTTCCAAGTAATATACCAATATGCACATTACCAATTTCTTTATATTCTACATATTTATTTTATTATTTTAAAAGAAATATCACATTAATTTTATTCTCAAAAAACTTTACAAAAATTTTGAAAATTATACACCAGCCATTCATTTTATTACTTGTCAAAAAAAGATTGTATAAATATTATCGACTAATAAATATATATTAATATTAAAAATACAACTTTTATTTTAAAAACATATCGTATCTCATAATAATAAAAAGATTTCTATAACGCTATCATATATTTATTCAATTTTTTAAATACATCATTTTATCAAAATGTTAAAGTTTTAGAATTTATATGAGTTCGAGTGGAACACAAGTTAAAATCAATTTTTTGTATATAGAGTGAATTTTGTGTTTTAGTGGAGTGTGACTTTTACCAGCTCTTTATAATTTTGTCCCAAAAAACACTACCAGGTTCATTTGTCCCGAAAGTTTATTTCTTCTTTTAGAGTGAAATATATGATCAATGTCATTTGTCTCTCTTTTATATCAATTCTAAAATTGCATTATTTACTTTTTAAAGGCTTTTTAAAATTTCATTTATGTTCAAACTTCAAAGTAGATTTTATTTAGAACAAATAGAATATCAATAAAGTAAAGATCATGTTAAAGTCACTTTGCCTTGTTTGGGGACACACATAATTGATCATAAATTGTAGAGCAATGCTAGGGGTACACCAAAGGGTGAACCCCAAATGTACACCATCCTCTTTCCTCCACACATTTTTATTTGATTTTTTGAAATTTTTTGCCTTTTTAGTGGACAAGGAAGGGGTGTGGAACATTTGGGGTAAACTTTTGATATGCATTTTTCTAAATTGTGGGCAACTAACAATCTACCCAATCATAATCAGAAGTCTCAATTCTTTCTCCATACACATTTCTCCACGATTTCCGCCAACCTTTTGATTTTTACCCCCTCTTCAGCTAAACGACACTCATGAGTCATGACTCCCCCCCTTCTTCTTCTTCTTCTTCTCCTCCTCCTCCTCCTCATTCTGTCGGTGGAACGCCCAATCTTTCTGCGAGTTTATTATTATTATTATTATTATTATGAGCCCTTCAAGACAATGATATAATGATCATTACACGGGGGAGTAATAGCAGCATATTAATGGAATCGAATAGAATTCGAGTTTGATTGGTATCTATCTGCAGCCATTCATTAAATTAAAGATCCACTTTTCTTGGACAGTGATACCGTAGTATGTAATTGATACTCAAACCATTCTGTCGCCTATTTATTTAGTTAATTTTCACTTTTTTCATCTAAAAATTGTTTTTTTTTAAATTATGAATTACTGGGTAATCATTCTTGTTGTTGTTCTTCCTTTCATGATATATCTTGCAAGAAATTGTGAATGGCATTTATCATTCTGTAATCTTAGACTGTGTATCTACCAACTGTCAAAGCATGCATCTTTCTCTTTTTTAGTTTTTATTTGGGGGTGTTTGATAACTGCTTATAATCTTAGTTGATGCTGAGAATGATTCCAGTGAAGAAAACAAAATAGAAAATAGATTTTTTTTCTTTCTTTTGGTACCATGCAGATAATGTTTTTTTTTTGACATTTGAATTGGAGTGTGACCACTCACAACCATTGCTATAATATTCCACAGTAAACAGTAAGAAATCATGGACCAGAAGAGTTGGCTTTGTAGAACAAACAAATCCCCTGAAAAAAGAACAGTTACAGATGAGAAATCTGGTTTTCATGTTAAAGACATTGGGGAGGAGGTATGGTCTCTCTCTTTTTTCTTTCTTTTTTTTTTCTTTTTCAAAACGGGCTCGAGCTTCATGCTAAAAGATCAATTTGATAGGAGAAGTTGAGGACTTGTGTGACTTAATATTGCATTTGCTGCTATTTAGGTTCAACTACTTCAGAATGAAAAGGAAATAGTTCTGGAGGAAACGGTGAGAAGTCTCAAAGAGAAGTTAGCATCCGTTCTAGACCAGTGCAATGCTAAAGACGAACTTGTCGCGAAGTTGACAAATATAGCAGAAGAAGCAGTGGCAGGTAGTGAATAACCAATCATATAGCTTCGGTGGTTTCTTTGTTCGTACATCTGTATCTGAACCAGTGGTCTCTTGGAAACAGACTCTCTACAGACCCTACTTTTGTGGGAATTTTCTGGGTTTGTTGTCATTGGTGTGTTTCCATTGTGTTAAGATTATAATACAACATACGGGGTATAAGACTTTGGGTTACTCATCTTATAATCTTATTAGGTTGAACTCTTAGGTTAAGAGTTGTCAACTTTGCTAATATTATTATTATCCGAATGCACATTTTAGATCACAAGAAAGCGGAGGCTGAAATTAAGTGTTTAAAGGAAGAGGTAGAAGAAGCTACAAAACAAAGACAGGCTGCAAATGGAAGGTTAGCTCACCTCAACATTGCACTCAAAGATTGTATGCAGAACTTAACTTTCACCAGAGAAGGAATAATGGAGCAAAGAGTACGAGATGCTGCAATGAGGACATCCCAAGAATTTGAGAAGGCACATAAGAAGGCCGCGAATTTAACCTTTGGGAATTCGCACCTTGAGAAAGAGTCCCATAGTCAAAATAAACAGTTGAAGATCATGAGGTTAGAAGCTGAAAGCCAGAGGCTTCGCGTTCTGGTGCGAAAACGAATGCCAAAGCAGAGTCGAACTGTGTTAGAAAACTTGAAGAAAGAGGAAGTCAGAGATTCTGGACAGGAGACTAACTTTGAACAAGCAAAGATTGGAGTTTCAGAGATGAGGCTAATGGATGATTTTGTTGAAATGGAAAAGCTTCTAGTAGTGACCTCTCCAAGAGCTGAAAATGAAGACTTGAGAGCTGAGCTGAATGAGGTGAGATCATCCAAGAAAGATTTAGAGGCAAAGCTGCAGCTGGAGATGGACAAAAACGAAGCTTTGAATGAGTCTAACCGAATAATGGAGGACGTGATTGAAAACCAGAAGTGGGTAAATGAAGACCTTGACACACAGCTCAATGTGATGAAAGCTAAACTGAATGAATCCCTCCAAAAGATGTATTCACTTGAAGTGGAACTAGAGGAAAAAAATCGCGTCTTTGAAGAGCTCGAAGGCACATGTCTTGAGCTCCAACTTCAACTTGAGAGCAATCACATCAACAAGATTCCAGAAGAGGGCTTGCAAAGAGAGTGTCAAAAGACCATCCTAACCCTCAGCGCGCCAGGTGAAGAACCGACCACAGTTGACCCACGTGCTTCCAACAACAAGACTGTCACTCGCCGTGCATCTCTGCGCGATCAGATGTTGTTCGAGGATGAAGCTAAAGATAAAGAGCTTGAATCTCCCACAAAAAAAGATGCAGTAGAAATCCCAGCAGCAGACAAGCGTTCTTTCTTACAACCTGATAATAATTGCAATGCAATTTGTACATTCAAATCCACACCTCTTGGAGCTTATCGTGGCTTGAAGCACAGAGGAGGCATTAGGTTTCTCAGAAAGTTATTGCTTAGGAGAAAGAAAGGATGTGAGAAGAGAACATCTCATGCCTTTACAGTGAAACATGGCAAATAAGAGAGGTTGTGATTTGTAAGGGTAAAATATTCTTTTAGTTGTAAAAAGGGAGAATAATATTTCCTTCTAATGCTAGAAGAAGAAAGAATAAGATGGTTGGAAAAGAAAAAAATGAGACTGATGAAGTAATATCTTCTTCAAGGCACCTTTACACTATGTTTGGTTCAAGGAATTTTGAAGGAAAAGAAAAGAAAAAGGTTTTCTCTCATTTTCCTTGCCAAAATGGGAAGAATTTGGTTTTCCCTCCACTTTGTACATTTTGCCTTCTCATTTTCTTTTCCTTCCACATTTCCTTTCTAACCAAACAAGAAAACTTGTTTTCCACTTCATTTTCTTTTCTTTTTCTCTTTTGAATTCCTTGAACCAAACATAGTGTTAGTTAACTTGGATTGTGAAATTAGTAGTTTTTTTTCATATTGTTTCAGTTTCCACTCTGGGCAACTAAAATTACAGGGTAAATGGATTAACTACAATAATTTCCTTTTAAAAAACATGATAACTAGTGATGTTAAGGTTTGGGAAAATTACTGAAATGTTTTAGGTCCCGTTTGGAGCATGGAATTCAAACAATGGAATTGGAATTGAGGAGTTCAATTCCAATTCTGGTGTTTGGTAGAATAAATATTTGGCAGATTTGGAATTAATAGTGCAAAAAATGAATTGAAATTGGTGAATTCAATTCTAATGGAATTGAATCTCATGGGATTTCAATTCAAATTCAATTTCAATTCCATCAATTCCATATACCAAACGGACCCTTAGAGTAATAGATGTATCAATATTTAATACTCCGTACTTTCTTTGTTTCACAAAACAATTTTACTTTTTATTTTTTTGCGAAACATTTCCACTTTCAAGTAAAATATTTTATTTACTTTTACTAACTAAGCGACGAGCGAAGGGGAACAAAGTAATCCAATGAAGAAACCTGACCTGGAGGAACGGCGGTTGTGCACGCGGCTAACTACATGCGAATGGTGGTTATGCTGTGCGCGACTCTTCTCACTCTTGCGGCGCACACGCGGTGCGATTCTGGGTTGCCGTGGCAGCATGGATACTTTAGCGGAGGTGTGTTTGAAGCAGGACATCTTTAGTGTTTGTTTATCAATAATCACTTTGAACGTTCTGTTTGTATCAAAATTAACAATTTGGTGTTTTAAAATGAACATACATTGTTCATAAATAATTATTATAATTATAACAAATAAATATGTCAACATAAATATTCTGTGGATTGAAAATAAATGTTTTCTAGGATAATTTTACGCTCTACACATTTAAGAAAAA